CCCAGGGGTGTTCAAACTTGACAGCTTTAAGACTTGTGGACTTCAACTCCCAGAATTCCTCCTCTCGCTTTTCATCTTGATGATGGGCAGGGGGGAGGGAGCTGGAACCGGTTCTAAACGGCACTGTAGATTTGTGGAAGCTTTTCTATAGAAGAGGTTAGAACTGGCAGGAACCCACCCCTGGTATGTAAGCAAAGCTGTTTATTTGACATAGAAGTGAAATTTTGTAACTTGTTGGAAATCACCCCAAGAAAGGGACCACAGGGTCTTGTGATCTTACAGCTTGTTCATAATAAGTTAAATTCTGGTTTAATGTTGCATTGAAAGAGGCTATTAAGACAATGTATTCCAAATGTCTATGTCTTTCAAAATTGCTTGTTTTATTTAGAGAAATAAGATTTGACTTGGTCTGCTAAAGCGATATTGGATAACAAATTATGTTAAAAGAACTATTTTCAATTTGATTTTTGTTCCCTCTGTAATGGAAATAAAATGTCTTTGAGGGCATTCTAGGACATGCATTCAGTGTGAGTTTATCTTTCCAAGGTAGGCAGCTATTTTTCATAAAAGTTTGTTTGTTGTTATTGATCTTACACTTGGGTACAGAGTTTCTCGGAATACAGTTTACAAATCTTTGCAGTAGTAGGCATAGCAGAGAAATGTTAGAACATGTTACTTTAATTGCTCGATGTTGGAGGCTCATCATAATTTCACACTTGTTCCTGTCCTTGTTTCTGATGCTACAACAGAAATATGATGTTTATCCAAATCTTGGAAGGAGATCCTAAAGGAACCAGCTACTAAAAAAACATTATCTCCAATCTAGGAATTGTACGTGCAATTTATTTAGTTAGAATATTTATGAGCCACCCAACTTAATGTGGCTCTGGATATTAAAAATATAAAAGAAAAACTACATGCTACTCAAACAAAAAGTGATCAGAACTATAATTTGTTGCATCCTGTGAAATGAAAGTTCTGCTCATCAAACAGGAGCTGTGAATCCAGAAGCCCCCCTCCCCAAAGTAGGATACCGAAAGTTAATAGTGCAAATCAGAGTGAAAATGAAATATTCTGAGTCCCACGCTGTGAGGCCCAAAACCCACAGCCATTGGGGTTCATTTTTTTTTACTATCGGTTCTGTGGGCGTGGCTTGGTGGGCGTGGCAGGGAAAGGATATGGGTAAAATCTCCCTCCCCCCAGGGGAAGGATACTGTGAAATCTCCATTCCTTCCTCACTCCAGGGGAAAGTTACTGCAAAATCCCCATTCCCTCTTGATCAGCTGGGACTCGGGAGTTCCAATATCTAAGGGGCTGCCATAAAGAAGAGTCAGGCCAGAGGTGGGTTCCTATTCGGTAGAACCAGTTCATCAAATCTACCGAACCGGTTAGAAGAGGTTCTACCAGTGGACCCGGAAAGCAGGCCAC